GGAATCATAGGTAAGGGAGCTGCAGGAGGAGGTGGATAGGCTCAGAAGCATCTGTGAACACGAGACCTTCATCAACTCCATGCACAAATCATCATGGAAGAGGGACAGCCAGAGAAGGCATTGGAAGACAACATCTTTGAGGCTGGATCTCCATTTTTGTGACTCATTGTTGGACGGTAAATTATTTTAACATGTGGCATGTTACAATTTAGCACGTGACTAACACAGTCATTAGATGTATATAATGTCTACCAGAGGCTAAAGAGATTTACTTCTAGTTAAATACCTGTATTTGTTACTTCTCACAAATGACTCGAATGGGAATCAACTTCAAAACGGCTGTGTTTAGGGCCCTTTCTTGCAAGGTGCTCAATCTTCATAAAAGACTGAGCTTCAAATGGTTAAGAAAACCAAAGATATAAGAAGTCGATGACTGGCACCTTGCCGAAGTGCTCAGCATTTTTTTTAGGATTGACCTTGGAGTGAACAAACTCCTGTTTAAAAAACTGTGAGAGATGGCAGGTGAGATCTGAATTTCTCAGAACTGATGGGAAGAGAAAGTCTTTCAGCAATGGTTAAAGACCCTAGTGTGGCAGATTTAAATCTAAATAGTTAGGAGTCCTCAAGAGTTTAATGGAAATGTGGGAGAATAATGGTTCCTGAGTATCAGCCTCAGCTAGCAGATGCCTGAAGAGAGAAAAGGAAGCAAATTGCCCTAAGCCAGTCATTCAGGCAGAATTTCAATTTTTGATTTTGGAGGGGAAAGTAAGGGGTTTTTTTCTGCTGGTGTTTTTCTTCAGTTTTCACAGGGAGATTCAAAGTCAAAGGTCAAGTTAAGAGCTGCAGGTCGTGTGGCTTTATATACATTCTGCTTTCAGCCAGGAAAACACAACAGGCCAGACTCTCTGTGGCCAGGGAGCCATATACAATATCCCTGACTCGGCGAACACTTCTGAGCTATAACCTGTGATATATGTGGAAAATGATAGTACCCCCTGGGACTCTTAACCAGCTGAGGGTTGGTGGACTCCAACCACCTCCTCTCCTCTTCTTCAGCGTCCTAGTCTCCCATAATTGCCTTCGCCGGAAGCTGTGGAGAAGGCTGCACAAGGAGCTGGCTGTCTCCTGGGAGGTGTCCCCATGACTAATTTGTAGCCAGTTTTTGTTCCCTGAGTGCTGAAGATGCAGCAGAGTTGTGAAGAACATCTGCTTCAGTTTTTCGATGGCGATACAAAGCCTTTATGCCTGTGTAAGTGAGAGGATGATCCGGATGACATAACCTCAGAAAACCAAATTACTCTGGGGGGGGGGGGGGGGGGGGGGGGAAAGGTTTGTAACTGGCAGCCAGTGTTCATTGTGTTCACAGAGCAGAGCTTTTAGCTAGAAGACTGTTATGGCAGTAATTGATCCATTGAATATTCATGATTTAGTGGAATTTTTTTTCCTCAGAAAGAGAGAAATAATTATTTTGGCCAGCATATATACAGAATATAAACTGCTGATATTGGCTTCAATGTATTAGGCAGAAATAGAAATTTTCCAGCATATTAGACACACAAATTGGCCTTCTCTCACCATTCTTGTTAAGTATTTCTTTGTTCCTTTTCTTGTTTATTTTGTAATAGCATTTTCATTCAGCCATTGTACAAGAAAAATGAAAATGGGCAGAGAGAGAATACTAGCTTTGCTGTCTGTGGTATGGGTCTCCATTTGAGCCAAGACCCCAAATCTATAGAGTTGGGGTTGATGCTTCGGGTTGATGTTTTCCATAGGCTTTGTATATCTGTGGAAAATTGCATTTGTTTTTTAATTCCCTCAGGTCTCACAGTATTGCTGCACAGTATAAACAAAGCATCAGCTTTTGTAAGTCGGGGGTGAGTGGGTGGTTTTCTTCTTCAAGATTTCCATGCCACAGAGCACAATCTTTTGATCTTTTGCAATGTGATACAGCACCTTCTTCTGCACACTCCAATTGCCTTTTCTTATCCTAGTGTGCAAATTGGAGTACGTTCCTTGCCCCCCATATCACCTAGGAGACAGTACAATAGCATCAACAGACAGATATGTTAATAGTGAAACACTTAAGACCACACAGGTGGCAGCAGGCTGATACAAAGCAGATCCCTCCTCTGTGCAGCAGAACCAGTCAGGTGATACCCAGTGGGTAATGATGGAGGCTGCCATATTGCAATTTAGTATTCTGGATAGGATATACTTCAGGATTCATGCAGGTTTCCATTTTCATCTCCTGCATTTTGGCCTCTCTGTAATTTCTGACTCCTCTTTTATCTTCCCCAAAAGTGAGTGGTTCTGGTTCAGCTACCTTGCTGATGATCAGGAGGGACATACGATGGAAGGGTTCCTGTGGGGGATGTGTAGTATGCAGAGGGACATTCAAGGATGGCTTGTGTGTAGTTTGAAAGGTGTGCAAGAAAGGGCCTTGCTCTGTCTGATTCCTCTTAGGACCTTTGCAAATGGGATAGAGACAAAGGGAAGAGGCTTTCTATTGATGACCCTGGTACAGATCACGGGGTAAGACATTTCAGTGGCATCCAGCCATTAGTTCCAGATGATGGCAGTTTGTTGAATTTTGTTATTTTGAGGGTCTGAAAAATGGTGACGCTTCTGTTGCCTTCCTTAGCTCTATTTCCTACCTTGCACGAAAAAACAAAACGAGGAGCGTCTCGCGTGTAAATCTTGCCAGGAGGGTGTTAAAACTTGTGCGGCTAACTTGTGCATGTACGTTCTTAAACTCTTCAGGGAGCAAATGCTGTTTCCCAAATGAAAACCCAATGGAAATATTCCCAAATGGAGTATGTTTTGAAAGGCTTTGTTTTCTGTCCTAATATACATATTTAGCTGCTTTTATTTGTACATTTTACTTGTGTTGCCAGAAAAAACTCTTGCTGGATCCATGTGCACCGGAATTGTCATGAGGCTTCATAATCGCCACAAGATGGGCCATGACTTTTGGTAACTCCCTCTGAGGTTCTAGTTTTGATGACTCACTCAGTAGGGAGAAAGGGCATACCATTTTCTTCCCTCCCTCTTCCTAAAGGTAGACTGATTCAGACTTCCTGATTTCACCCCTGCCTGTAGATTCATCAGAGAGACAGAGCAATCTAATAATTGAAATAATTAACTTGTGCATAGGACTATCAAAAAAAATTGCTTTGCAAATATCCTGTAACTCACAGCCAAGGTTCCTTGAATTCAGGAAGTCATTGCTGACTTCAGTTCCTTGAAATCAGCAATGTTTTTAGTTTGGCTGTTGTTACACCAGTAGCTGAGCAACTGAATATTCATGGTTCAGTGCATTTTTTTCATAGAAATTAAGAATTTATGCATTTTCCTTATGCAAGGATGCATAATGAACTGGTTATGTGTCATCATCTCTTAAAATGGGAGCTTTTATTAGTATATTATCATTAAGAAGTCTTGTTACATGATATGTGCGATGCAGAGTGATTTGTCTACAATGGAAGGCTTGCAGGAGTGGGTCCTCTCTTTCCAAGACCAAATCCCATAAGCAGCAGTTAAAAACATGCTGAGATCTAGAAAACCAGCTCTGATGTTCCACGTGGCTCTTATTTTTGGTACACAACTCTGTGAGTGATTATTTTTTCAATTAAGTACTGCCCTCGCAGCTGTGAAAACAGAAGTCTTTTTCTTTGTTTATCTTTAGATCGGGTAGAAAAAAGACAAACCCAAGCAGGTTAATGCAATGTAGATTTCCCCACACCTTTCTGCAGCTGCCTTCACTCCTTATCTGGAAATGGCAGAGTATTTCAATTTTCAGGCCAGTCCTAGTCATTCACAGTTTGCCTTTCTGGTGTGGATAATAAGGATTTTTGCCAATGGCTTTTTCTGATACAGACATGTGGCCACTAAAAACTTTCAAGGGACCACCAACTCATTTCATACAGGTTCTTGCATATTCTTTGGGTAGCAGCAATATTTGATCACTTAACCTTTGTCAATATTTGATTCAGAGACATAATGGCAAAGGACTTGCTATCCTATTCTCTGTCATGAGAAATATCCAGTCTTCTGAAGGCATTTTTTAATTTTTATTTTTAGAGCGGGAAAATATTTGGGCAGTTAAAAAAAAAAAAATAAGAAAAATAAGAAACTGCACCCTGGAATGGTATTGTCCCAACTTGGATTGAATGTCTACTCTGTTTATGTAGCATCTGCTAGAGAATGAGGCTTAACAATGGTAAACTGATGCAGCTGTAAAGACGTGGGGTTTTCCAGCAGCAGCTATCTCTGCTGAGCAGTTCAGTCTTTTGGAAAGAAAATACTGTATCACAGGCAACCAGAGCATGCACGAGAAGTTTACAGGCCCAATCGGCGGTCCCTCTAAAGCCACGCAGGCTCATGGATGGAGCCCTGCTGCAAGTCTGCCCTAGGGGCACATAGAAATTTGGATTATTTGACTTTAAAAAAACCAAAACACATACAAAAAAAAACCCCAACCCTGACTCCTGTCCATGTGCTTTGCATCACATAGCTGAAGTCTGCTGCTAGCTTGTCCCTAGGGCGAAGGCCAGGGCTAGGCACCTGCGTCTGTGTGACCGCAGACTTCACGAGCTCCAGGCAGGAGCAATGCCCTTCTTTAAGAGCTGCCTCGGGCCTCTCTCCTCGGAGCTGGCACCAGTGTGGATGCACATGGGAGCAGCTGCATCCTCAGCCTGGAAACTTTCTCACCTGCGCAGCTGTGGCTCTCCAGCCAGGTGAGCAGGGGCAGCACCGGGAGCTGGCACTAGAGGGCTGCTGAGCCGGGGCTGGAGAGCCTGGGCTAGGAGGCAGGAGCCTCGGAGAAAGCAGCGCGACAAGGAGCTGCCCGCAACTAGTGCACCCAGGCCCGTGTCTTTGTTGTGTTTGGTAGGACCGGGCCCGTCCGTAACGATTGCAAAAAGCAACTGCGCGTCTCCAAGCACCAGGCACAACCTCCCCCGCTTCCTTTCCCTTTCCCTTTCCTCCTCCTCCTCCTCCTCCCCCCGCACCCGGTGCATCTCCAGCCGCCTGCGCGTCCCCTCTCCAGCCCGGGTTTTCCTTGCAGCCCGGCCCCAGGCATGCGGCGGGGACTCGGGCACCCGGGAGGGCCGGGCTCCGCCGCCGGCCGCCTGGATGGGGATGGGGATGGGGATGGGGATGCAGAGGCGCCGGCCCCCGCGGCTGCAGCGGAGCCGAGGCCCGGCCGCCAGCATGACCTGAGCCCGCATCCCCGGGGAGGAGGAGGAGGAGGAGGATGCGGGGGCCGCCCCACACCAGCACCAGTGCCAGTGCGTGCTGCTGGGGATGGGTGGGGTGGGCAGGGGGTGCAGGGGCTTTGCCGCAGCGGTGCCCCCGCACGCTTGGGCAGCGGGGACCCCCGGGAGCCGTGCCGCAGTCCCCCCCTGGGGCGCACCTGCGGGGCGGGAGGGAGGGAAGGAGGGGGAGAGGGAGGGACGGGGCTCCACGTCTCCGCTCCGCTCTGCCCGCAGGACCCCCGCCTGGGATGCGCCCTCACCTGCGGCCCCCCGCCAGCGCCGTCCTGCACTAGCCCCGCAGCCGCCCGGGAAGTTTGATGGCTTCTTTGCGGCGAGTCAAAGTGCTGCTGGCGCTCAACTTGCTGGCTGTGGCCGGCTTCGTCCTCTTCCTAGCCAAGTGCAGACCCATCGCCGTGAAGACGGGGGATTCCTTCCACGAAGTCCACCCCAGGGCCGAGGTGGCCAACTTGACGGCCCACGGTGGCATCAGCCCTCTCCAGGATGCGGTCCTGAAAAGGCTCTCGCTTCTGGAAGATATCGTCTACCGGCAGCTCAATGGTAGGCACTCGTGTTTGTCCATGCCTGGTGGGGGGACGGCCGGGGTTGGAAACAGGGTAGGGGAGAAAACGAAAAGAGCCGGCGAGGGAGAGGGAGGTCGCGGCGATTCTTGAAGTTTGCCCAAAGTAGACCCGCTCGCCTGTCTCATTGCCGGAGCTTTATCTTGAGGAGACGGGCTGAATCTGCTTTAGGATCTGATGTATGAGGTTCTTTTAAGAGGGGAGGACTGTATAATGACATTATGCTGGCTTTCAGTTTTGTTGTGCGGGTCAGGAAATGATCCCATCATGGGAGATGAGAAACTAGTTCAGCAGCCAAACCTGAGGTTAGAGAAGCATGCTGTGTATTGATTGAGAAAATGGCTTTTACCACCAGATGTTTATTATTTGGGGGGAAGCGGGGGGGGGGGGTTTAAATCACTTAAGTATTTTTTATTTTTTGTGCATCATTCAAGTGCAGTAGGTCAGACAATAAATGGGCTTTTTGCAATAAGTTAAACAAACAATTCAAGGTTTCCTATGGCTCAGCCTTGACAGCTGCTAATTAAAACCTCTAGTAATGTTTCTCTTTATAGCACAGTGCAGAGATTTCTATTAAAATCTCACCAGGTCCAGTAATTCTGAGACGTAGAAAGGGAGTTTTCAAAATGCCATGCGGGATAGAGAAACATGTTGTAAGAGATGTAAGAAATGTAGGTGAGAGATCTAATTAAAACACTGACTGTGAAAAGCTAATTTTTTTTAAGTGCTCCCTATAGATTCACAAGTAGGAACGTGATCTCAATCAAGAGTCCCATTTATAGCTGCCTGTATCTACGGGCATAAAAGACTACAGCTTTCAGTTTGGCAAAATTAGCATAGTTCATGTTTTGTGGAGCGCCTGTATAGCTCCCCTCCGTGATTCTTGAATACTAAACTCATGCTTGATTCTGTACAACTGAAATGAGCACCCTTGCAGATCGGTGCTTGTGTACTGAATCTGAACTATTGCAGAAAGCAGCATTATCCAGCGGATGTCAGACAGGTACTGGAATGCAGCTTGTGTTTGTTGGTGTTGTCTTCTGTCCTCATTGTTATCTCGCCCAATATTTGGGTTTGGGAAAGAGGAGGGGGTCAGTTTAGAGGCACTAAGCTAATCAAGAGTGGGTTATTTTACAGTGCTGCTCCACACTTTCATGCGTTATCCCACCAGCAAAGGTGGCTTATGTCAAATCTAAACCCCGAGTTATCTGACAGAAGCAATTGAAATGATGTTGAAACAAGTAAATGGGAAATACTTTGTAAAAACTGTTCCATATAATGAACCTGTGAAATCCCTGCAGGATGTTGTTGAGTTACAAAGTCTGAGGGTTTTCAGAAAGGATAACTTAGGCACTTCTGAAAATAAGAATAATGTCTGCAGTGATATTTGTTAGGACACACATATCAGCTATCACCCTTGATATCTCCAGAGCATAATGTTCTCATCAGCAGAGTCAGAAAGATGGTCTCCCTCATTACCACCATCTTCATTTACAGTGTGGTGTTACCTAGAGCCTCTAGCCAGAGCTAAGAGCCCCACTGTGTGAAGCACTGTGCGCCCACATGCTCTGTCACTGAACTCCATGACTAAGGAGCAAGTGAAAGCTGACATCAGTTGGTCTCAGAGATAAGATAGTCAACCCTGAGGAACCTGTGGCTGATTCCACTATGGCAAATGGAAGTACCCGAGACGAAAATTTAGTGCGAAAGGTAGACATGGTAGACACTCTTGAGTGTGCCACCATCTGTAGTGAACTCTCAGCATGCTGGCATTTGCATTATAGTATAACATACACATCCACTACCTTGTAGTAGTGCTAGGAAGTGCTACCAAATACATAAGTACTATGAAATGGGATAGAATCAATGTTCACCCAAACCACAAGTGCTTTCCTAGGGGAGACTCTAAGCCATGCTCATAAAAGTAGCTATTTCTCTCTATGGCCTTTCCATACAAGTATAATTTGTAGCAGTACTAATGAGTCTGCCTGGAAAAAAAAATAGGCTCAAATATGTTCATTGTATAACTTAAGGTCAAGTATATTTTTGGTCCACAGGATATTTAATTTTTTAATGTGCTTACATAGGCTGTCCCCTGGGGTACATAAGCTTTATGCATCAGTAAGGCAAGACCTGAGGTGAACAAAAATGATAAAAAGAAATAAGAACTAACATCCATCAGTGCAAATCTTGTGCAAATTCAAGCAGTAGCGACATGGCTTCAGATGATCCTTACGTCTCGGGATGTAATAGAAGATAAAACATCTTCTCAAAAATGATTTTTCCTTATGTCCAAAACTGGAGTTCATCTTAACTCCAGTCACTTGGGGGAGAATTACCAGGCTGAAATCTTAGCACCTGCTTCACACATGCAGGCACCTAGTATGACTTTGCTTGTGATTTTTAAATATGTATCATAAAAATAATGCATTTTAGTGACAACTAGCAAACTGATCCCAAACCATGCATTTAGGGCTTCTCCTTGCAAAATTCATCAGCCAGTAAAATTCTTCTCTCATGGTATGTTTTAACATTTTATTGTAAAAATTATTTGTGGTCTAGAAGTTATAGGTTGCGCTAAGTATTTGGGATAGCAGAATATGGTATCCTGGTGCTTTCAGAGGACACCTTGTAGTTCAGCCCCATGGAAAGAAGCAGGAAATGTTTGCCCAAAGCATACGTTAAGCCTAAATTCTTCTTATGTGCTGCGTTCTGCCAAGCGTTGGCTGTGCTTCCCGTTATTGCCAGTTTTTTTGGTATAAACCATATTAGGAATTCCAGCCACACACTTCATTGCATTCCCCCTCTTTCACTGGAAACTTTCTGGGTGAACATTGGCCATTAAAATAAGTGGGATTCTTTGCTGATGGCTGATAACTGCACTGTGCTACAGAATCAATATTTTATTCGTAATGACATTTTGTAACTAGCCGCATAGCCCCCAAACCTCTCCATATGTGCTCTTCATGCAAGGTTTGAAATGCAATCCCAGACATGAACCTGATCTCCCATCTTAAATGACCTGGTCAGACAGATAGGAAGAAGATAAGGTCATTCAGGTTTCTGGAAATATAAAGTGCAGCTTAAAATAGTTGCAGCTGTACTGACTGATGAATCACTTAGAACCTGCTTAGCTTTCTTTTCTGGATGATGCACCTTGATGGGCTCAGAGTAGTTTCTGGCTGGTGTAAGCTGGGGTTGCTGTTTCTTGTTAGGCTCCGTACACAACAATTTATAATTTAGCCCTTGGAAGGCTGGCATTTTCCAGACTGCCTGTCAGATGAATGCTTGGTGTGTGTATTGTATTACATTAAGGATTGGTAACTGTTCACAGTAAGCAGTATATTTGATTAATTCCCTCCCTTTTTGTTGCTCATAAATCCACAAAAGATACTTAGATCTTTATAAATTTGTTGGCTCAGAACTATTAGGTAAATAGTTTATACAAGTATATTTCAGCCTGCGGCTTGTCATGAGCTACTTGCTGTAAGTATCACTCTGTCTAATTTTCTCTTCCCTCTGTTTGCTGCTTTGTACAGAACATTTCTTTTGCCCTGCTCCCTAACTGGGTGGCTGACAGAGGATTTCCTGGGTGCCCATGCCATCTCTTTTGGCCTGATTTGGTTTTTTTTTTTGTGTGAATATATACATTTGTACAAGTATTTTGGAAACTTGTAATTTTGGTGATATCATTTTTTTGTGAATACAGTTTTTCTTATGCTGCAAATAATTCAAGAAAGCTAATGAAAGGCTGTGAATACTGCTGGAGAAGGTTCTTGTGGCTTCTATTTCAATTAATGTTTGTAAGTTTTCTTTTTATCTTCTCATCCAAACTTAATGTCCCTCCTCATCTCCCCCTATAGCAGCTGAATGTTGGGCATGATCTAAGGCAGGAGTACCCAACCTGGCACAAGTGGCACAGGAGACCTCTGTGTGGCACACAGCAGATTGGGGAGGGGATAGGCAGCACAGTGGCAGAAAGGGCCAGAAGTAGAAAGCAAAGCAGTAGACTGGGCAGGGGGCAGAGTGCAGGAAGGAAAAAGCAGAGCAGCAGGTCAGGCTGAGAAAGGGGATGTGAGTGGCACTCAGGGAAGGTGAGGGACTAATTTGTGGCATGCTTTCCCAAAAAGCTGGCCCCCACTGGTTTGAGGAGCTGTGAATTTTGTTGCAGTTCATCATGCATGATAACTGCGCATTGCAGACCCATATTCAGAAAAAGACTGTGCACATTTGTACATGTGTGCATGTAACCAGGCAAGCCCAACTACCGCTTTGGTGTCCTGGGTACCGCTGACTGCTCATTGGCCTCAGGAAAACTACTTCTCCAGTTCCTGGGAACATACTTAGGTGAGGATTAAAGGTCTAATGGATAAGGAATTATCATTCAGTTTCTAGCTCAGCTATATATTTTCTGTGCGACCTTGGGCAAGTCATTTATATGCTCTGTAAAACATGTTTAATCCATCCCTACCTCCTTCACCAGATTCAGCATGGGCTTGTTAAGGACGAACCATGCTGAGTCCACTTAATATCCTTATGTGATAAGGAAACAAGTTTGGTGGATGATATGGAAATAGTATGGACTAGTAAGGCTTCTGGTACTGTCCCATGTGGCATGCTTATAATTGAGTTACTGCTGGGTGGATTCATAATGGGCTGAACAACCCCAAGCAAAGAACAAGTATAAGTGGCTCAATGTCAGAACAGCAGGAGGTTTGAGTGGACTTCTACCGGCTGGGTGTGATGCTATTTAACACTTTTGTTAATGATTTGGATGCTGGAGCTGAGCACCTTGATCAAGTTGGCATTTGACACAGAAGCTGGCGGTGTTGCAAATGCTTTGGAGGATAGGAGTAGAATTCAAAATGATCTGGATAAAATGGAAATCTGGTCTGTAGACCACAAAAAGAAATTCAGTGAAGACTAATATAAATTGTTACCCCTAGAGAAGAAAAACCAAGTGTACAAGTACAGAATGAG